CGGGGGCACCCCGACACCCAGCGCACCCATCGCTGCCACCCACTGCCACGGGCACAGCAGGCAGAAACGTGCCTCGAAGCCTGCGCTTCTGCCTTGGTTTATCCCAGTGAATTGCCTCACTCAAGGAAACCAAACCAGATTGCACAGATGTTTTAATACACACTATGGTTTAAAGAATCCGTAAGGATTCTCAGAAACAACTAAGAATCCAGGGACAGCAACAGAAGAGTCTGGCTAAATTATTTCTCTTTTCACCACTGTGGCACCATCTTGTGTTGCACAAAGAAATCCTTTGGTACATAAAACAAAAGTTCAAGATTTTTCTTCCTTTTTTTTTTTTCCCTTCGGCCTTCATTTTTATTTTGAAACACATCAGACTGATGCTTCCAAGCTGCTGTGTCTTCGGTTTGTAATTACTCCAGATAAAGGAGCTGTGCCTGATTCCCTGAATTCAGCAGCAAGACAACAGCCCGTTGAGCACCACAGCTCTTTTTAGCAAATGTATTAAAAGGCAGTTTAAAAAGGAGTGAATTTTGTCACCCTTCTACCTTATTGTTCACCTATACCAGAAATACGATGTGCAAAAGCAACTTGCTAACTAGAGCAGCAACAGCTACTCTTCAACAGGGTAAGGAAAAATTAACTTCACACTTCACAGGCAGTAAGGTGGGGTTTTTTGTTCCCAAGTCTCTCATCCCTGTGTCTGTTCTAAAACATCCATTAGAAATGTCACTGAAAGAAATGGACAAATCAGGCAGAAACCCTGTAGCTGAATTTTGCCTGAGGCACTCAGCAGAGCCGACATGTTCCTACTTGTAGAACTTTAAAAGGAAAATAAATAGAAAAGAACTTAAAATAAAATGTTTTCCTAAGGAAAGGGAATGATTCTTATGTATTGACAGTAAGTTCATGTTACCTGAGAAACTAAAAAGGATACCCTAACATGCCACATGGATTTTTTTTCCCTACTTTCCTGAAAAAAATAGAACCTGTGCTGCTGTACTGGATATTCATCCATCACTCTCAAAATTTTTCAGCCTACTGACCAACTTCAGTCCTACCTGGGGGAGAAGGAGAAACCTCAGACAGAATTTGTGCTCCTCTGTTTTGGAGAAGGTGGGCAGGGTGGAACGAGGGGCTCCATGCCGATGAGGAATGACTGGCAGACCTCACCAGATGTGTGGCTGGAGGGCAAATTAACGCTGTGCCTAATCGGTAGCAGCTCAAGCCTAGTGTCTGTCATCTTTTTTTAGGGTGTCAGCAATGACAAGGTTAGACAAGACTTAGCAGAAAAAGACACCGATCTATAGCTATTAAGCCGTATTATTACCTTGCCCAGGGAGTGACTTATTACTTCTAGGGGTACTAAAGGCTTTTTTTTTGCCATAAATATTCACTGTAACCTTAAATGTAGTGCGAATTTGTTAGGCAGGTGATTTCTGTGCTTCAAAACTGTGGTTCTTTGACTTCTGTCCTTCAAGTACTTTGTGAATGCCTTAAGCGGGATAAACCCCAGTGTTTGGGTATTCACTGTTGTGTAGACTATCATTCCCTGCTGCAGTACATCTCCAGGATTTGGTGGGCCCTGCCCAGACCTTTCTGGAGGTCCTGACATAGTCTTTGCTAAAAAGGAGTTTGGCTTAGAGTTCTCTCCAGCTAACCCACCTACCTCTTCAGATGTGCCATGAGATACCGTAATGTTTCACAGTGTGCAGGCGGCAGCAGTTTCAGCGCCTCATGGAGAATTTCCAACTGTTCATCCGGATCGGTGGTTTCTGAAAGGCAGAAGTTCAGGCGTCACCACAGGTACAGCCAGAGTTCATGCACAGAAGGCCAAGAGTGATGGCCTGCAGAGGAGATAGGGTCTCACAGCTCTGCTGGATCACTGATTTCCACAACCTATCCAAGCCTCATAGCGGAAGATTTGCCTGTCCAAAGAGGTGCTCCGAGCACAGTCAGAATGTGATTGGTTTTGGACAAAGAAAACTTCCCCAAAGCAAACTGCAATCCACCGAAAGATTCCCAGCAGCCTACTAAAAAAAAATAATCCCCTGGCAATACTTGTTGACCGGACTAGTTTCACACAAATAATCTACAGGTGCAACCCCTGGACAGCAGAAGGTACCGGGAACTTTGCCATCGGCATCTTTGGCTGCGTCCGTACTACTTGGAAAGAGCCTTCTCCAGAGGAGCGGTAAGCCCAGCATCCAGCCCTTGTTTTCTGCCCACGGCTACGTCACACCTTTCCAGGTGTGTTTGGCGCGACTCCTACATTGCAGAGACGCTTCAGGCAGCCAGGACGCTTGGGAGAGATGTTCCAGCCAGGCTTACTGCTGCGCTTGCAGACTCACTGTCTGCGAGGACGGCCTTGACGGTGGCCTTAGCATGAGCACTTCTAAAAACACTCAGAAGTGACACCCCTAGAAACAGATTATTTATTTCTAATCATTTTCATAAATCATGTTCTTTCTGGCAACGCAAACCCAACGGACTTTAAATGCCACCGTCAAGTGCTAGGGATTCATGCAAGACATAAAAAGTGATGTAGCGATGCAATCCGTAATGTGTGATGAAAAGGAAGCGTTCCTGACGACAAAGGCAAAGAAAAATGTAACCATGATCACGTAGCACCACAGGGTCACGCCGTAATGTGCATATTTAGTCCTGCAATCCTCACTGAACAGGGCATGCAGGGTAAGAGCTGATGGGGCAGCTACTAACCCAATAGGCAAGTACTACGCAAAAAGGAGAAGAAAAGGATGAGAATGAAAACTAGGAGGGAAATGCATTATACTTACTTGCAGACTCTATAAACTTTGGGTAGGCATCATACGTGATGAGTGGAATTGGCAAATCCCTGAAGTACAGTTTAAGTGCACCAGTGATAATATTGATATCTTCATACATATTCACAGAAATATCAGCTTTTTCCCCATCTGTGTGGAGAAGGCACAGGCATTAAAGCCTTGGAACTGTAAACCGGTGTAAAACAGCATTCAAAAGAAAAAGAATAACTCACTTAAGCAAACATTGTTAAAAGGGACACAACTACAGATTTTGGTTTCTATAAGCAAACCAGAGAGTTACTGGGCTGTGAAGTTCATTTCAGGGTGAAAACCTCAGGTATTTATTATAAAGAGACCTATCCTTTCTTCGTTTCAAGTGAGTATAAAAAATGCAGGGTTTTTTTGGGAAAAAACCTGCCTGCCTGATCTAGCAGTATCTATCGTGTAGAAACGTGTGGAAGTTTAGCTATTTCTGAACCCACTGCGTTGCCAAACAACACGTTTGTCATCACTGAGTGAGAAATCAGGGGAGCCTGGGAAAAAAAGCAAAAGAAAGAAAACCAACTTAAGTCCACAGCCTCCTCATTTTCTAGGAAAAACATGTGTTCACCATTTAGCTACAGCATACTACCTACTCCTGACCGCAGTGGACATGGATCCAGAACTTGGCTTCTCCAGCACATCCCCACCCTGCTAACGCTGCAGAGGAGGCAGATGTTGTCTGAATAGGTCCAGTCCTCCAGAAAAACAGGAGAGAGAGTTTCCAGCATGGATTTTGGCCTTCATTTCTTCTGGGGTAGGGAGACTGTAGCTGGAAACCCTGTAATTTTCCCACTGCCTTTTCTCAGACAGAAGAGTTTGTTCTCACTGACCTTCTTTTAGACTGTAGCAATTCAAAATTTGCGTGCACTGTTGTGTTCATCTTATTATTTTTGAGCTTTCATCCAGAAAGATGGATTTAAGTTGCGCAGCCCTCTTAAGGCACTTCACCACTCGCCCTCTATCCCTCCCCCACCCCCCTGAGCACAGTTTTACTTGCAAACTAGGGCAGTAGTTCAGCAAGCTTTGTCCTTTCCCGTACACATCATTACTGAAGCACAGATACTGCTGGAAGGAGAAAAGTAGATTTTGGTAATAAAGGCCAAAGTGAAGCTGATAAGGCTTTTCTGCCGGGGAGGCTCCCCTTCTGCTAGCACAGCCGCCGGACGGCTCCAGCCCACCGATGCACTGGAGCATGAGATGGACAGGGGCTGGGCAGAAAATATCCTGTGCATTTACCACATCAGCACAAAGTTCCAGCATGCTGCAAAAGACTGTACCTCTGTCAAATGCCATTTTGACATCTTCGATAAGATCACTAAATCCTGAGACCCTGTATAGTCCTTCGGAATTAAGACCTGCAATGAACATTTTAACAAGATTAAAAATTAGTCTTAATTTTGCAGTTTCCTTCCACCCAGTTCTTCCCGAGCTGGGTTCTTCATTTAAGGCAAAACAAGTGGGCACGTTTTAAAAGCCTCATCAGGCTCTTCTTTCGGAATAAATCTTATCCTGGCCTTTTAACCCTGACCCTTGCATTAGCTGCCTTGCTTTATCAGCACTAAATTATGTTTATACCAACAATTTCAGAGCTGAAGAATCATATTAGACCAATTACAACCAATTTAAAAATAACCAAGATTAGCATACTTGATGTTCAGTTGTTATTTCAGAATAAAACCAAATACTCGAATTCAAGAAAAGGATACTACTCAGTGCGAGCTAGGGGAACTAGTGATGGGGAACTCATCAATACCAACGGCCTTTTTTTAGCACATTCACTTCATTTTTTTAGTAAAAATATTGCAGGAAAAGATAGGTGCCAATATATAACTATAAAGCAGTAATTGTCCATTAAGCAATTTCTAGCAGAATCTATAAAAAATGTAAATGGGTATGAACCATGAAATAATGCAAAGTGTAATATTAGCTGTGCGGAGTAATTGGCAGTCATAAAATGTCTTGTGCAAATCTGTTTTGAGCAATCATACATTCAGCAGAAACCCAGATGACCCAGATCAATCTAAACGGATTATCAGTAAAGCAACGCAAGTCCATTAACTCTGCCTTACCTCTAGATTCGATTTCCCTAATGCACATGTCTACTACCATTGGTCTCTTCGTGAAGTGTGCTTTTACTAGCGTTGTAAGGTCGCAGCTGTACACTTTTTTGACATGCTTCAGGTCTGGCTTGCAGTCATTTGGGACCATCTTGGAACATTGCTTGTGCACATTTAAACCACAATCTGAGAGAAAAACAAAAAGACAGTTAGGCTGGTGTTTGGTGAAAATGTGTGTCCCGAGGTCAGTACTGCAGAGTACATATGGCTCCTGCAGGATCTGACCTGATCTCACGACTACTACTTCTGTTGAGACCTCCTAACCATCAAATGCACGAGGTAGGGACAGACCTGAAGTAAGACAGATCTTCTACCCAAGACAATATCCCTAGATTTAACACAAAGTGACAAACTTTCCATATGTTTTTTTGAATCACAATCCAAGGGTCAACTACGTTCCCCACCACTATGACATATTCTGCAATTACGATCTAAACTTTCTTCCCAAGTAGCTGATTTCCTCACGCTTACAGTTTTAATGTAGTGCTGGACTGTGGCACTCAGAATCATAGAATCACTAAGGTTGGAAAAGACCTCCAAGATCATCAAGTCCAACTGTCAACCCACCACCACCATGCCTACTAAACCATGTCCCAAAGTACATCTACACTTTTTCTGAACACCTCCAGGGATGGTGACTCCACCACCTCTCTGGGCAGCCTGTTCCAATGCTTGGCCACTCTTTCAGTAAATAAATTTTTCCTAATATCCAATCCAAGCCTCCCCTGATGCAACTTGAGGCCATTTCCTCTTGTCCTATTGCCTGTTACCTGGGAGAAGAGACCAACACCCACCTGGCTACAGCCTCCTGTCAGGCAGTTGTAGAGGGCGATAAGGTCTCCCCTCAGCCTCCTCTTCTCCAGACTAAACGACCCCAGTTCCCTCAGCCACTCCTCATGAGATTTGTGCTCCAGACCCCTCACCTTCTGGACATGCTCCAGCACCTCAATGTCCTTCGTGAACTGAGGGGGCCCAAAACTGAACACAGTATTTGAGGCATGGCCTCACCGGTGCCGAGTACTTCCCTGTTCCTGCTGGCCACACTATTCCTGATACAAGCCACGATGCTGCTGACCGCCTTGACCACCTGGGCACACTGCTTAGACCACCTTAGACACCTCCTGGGGGACATGAAGGTAGGGACAGGGTCTCAGAAGGCTACAACCCCTCTGCATCATGTGTTGGCAAGGCAGCCCCAAGATCTGAACTGCTTCAGGGACCCCCACGCTCTTGCCCGGTGTGGCAGCCCGTGCATAGCGTTGGTAGTGACAGGGCCCATTCCCCAGCTCGGAGGGGAGCTGAAAAGCAGATGCAGTTCTGATGCCATTTCACAGGGTGTTTATGAAACAACGCGTTGGCAGGCACCAAAACACTTCTGTTAGCTTTAAAAGTGACTTAAGGAAAATTTGTTGTTTTTTTTTTAAAAAAACAAGATAAACAAACAACTCCACAGCTTTACTGTAAACACACTGAGAATGAGATTTAGTTTAAGTGCAACTTAATTGAAATCAGGTTACAGAAAAATGTTTGTTCTGCCCAAAACTATTTGGGGCTTGGGGGGAAAAACCTTTGAAACCACCATACAGTGAAGATGGGAAGAGCAGTGCTGTCCCCGTTAAGCTAAGCACACGCTGCAGCTGGCACCATCAGGCAGCCTCCCCCACTGGCCGGGGCCCAGGGAAGCCCCCAGTGACTCCATTTTCACTGCCGTTCCTCCTGTTTTGCAACGGAGACTCACAGGTGCTTGCAAAGAAATAGCAACCGGCGAGAAAGGCGGCACTTCACAGTCAGGGCATTTGCCATGCTCCGACGTGCACTCGGTGTACAACAGGACTCCGGGTCTGCAAGCGTTCCTCTACATCGCTGCCAGACCGAGTTCCCTGGATTTCTGCAGAATTAAAGGATGTAGGAACTTGAAGGGTCAATGCTTTGATGAAAATCTGTACTTGCCTCACCCACTGCAATATCAAGTATCTGTCTATTATTTGACTTTGTTCTTTCCAAAACAGTAAACCCCAGAATTCATCGGTAAAGTTTAATTTCCACTAAGTCAGCTGCAGCCTGCTGCTAAAAGCACTTTGTTTACTTAACGGGCCTGTAAAGCAACCAGCTTTGTCACTTAGGGTCTTCTGTAACACATCCAATCTCTGGTTGCAATTAAAGTCCAGCATGTCACCTTCAATCAGTCAAAACTCACACAGTCCTGATCCAGATGAAACGGCTGACTAGAATTCTCTTTAGCCATTTCTGTGCAGGAGCGACTCCCTTCCTTGCGAGGAGAGGTTAACGCTCAAGACAGGGAGCTGCGAATGCTCAATTTCCCACCTGGTTGTGACTTTGGGTTGCGAACCCCACCTCGGGCAAAGCCATGCAATGCGACCCCCGGCCCCCTGCAAGCAAGCCATACTGCCTGGGGTACCATGGGGGCCCACCCTCGTCAGCCTCGGTGGCTTGCTTTGACCCACGGCTGGAAGACTCCTAGTTGGAAGGTACATGACCACACAACCTGTTCACACGCAGCACCTACCCCGCCTGTGGTGCTGGGGCGCGGAACAAAGAAACTCTGAACGTGCCAGCCAGGGCAGGCAAGGGGAGCTCCACCTACGCTTTAAATATCTATCACCAATGCTACATTTTGTCCGAACTTTGAGAAATCAGGTCCCTCTGTGCTTTAAATAGGGAACCTGAATTCATTGGAAACACGCGACCTGAATCCCTCGGTATCTCAGTGCTTCAGCTGCAACATAGGAAGGAGAAGCTGTCTGTGCCTCCTCTGGGTCTTGCAGAAACAAATTCATTAAGTGTTTGTGGAAATACACAGGAGAAATTGCGCGTCTTTGGTGTAAGGTTGGAATACTGTGCCCTTAATAACAGCAATGGCTACACTTTCACCAACGAGAAGACAAAAATACTGAATAGGTGCTATTATTAAGCAAGGACCATCCATTCTGCTTTCAGAATAAGGATGAAGTTGTGGAGTAAAAATAGCAAGCAGTCAAATAATTAGAGGCAATATCTTAAAGCACACGCATAAGGGAAGGAAATTAAGGCCACATAGGAAATCTTAATTCTTTTTTTTTCCCTTATTTTGAAACTCTAACTTTGTGATAATAGTATTTATGAATGTAAATATAATTATTATACCTGGAATTCCTACAATTGCTGTAAGAAGCACCTATTCCAGCATGAGTGAAACAACCTAGTATATCTGTCAAAAATGATGCCTACAAGACTGGAATGGCAGCGTCTCACTCATGAGGACTCATGAGTGCTTTTGTGAGTGCAAATTAGCTGCTTCACACAGACAGCAATATAGCCTAGAGTTATGTTTCTGGGAATCCAAGGATAATTAAGACTGAAATACACACACAAAAAAGGAAAAATATGCTTCCAAGTATCTTATACTTTGACTTAAAACAATTATCGCATTCACTGAGATCATCCTAATTATATTTATATACAAGAAAGTTTCATTTAATTAAAATACCTAACTTACAGAGATGTTTTCAATGTGAAAACCTTGCTTCTGAAAATAATTGTGTTACTGCTAATCCTATAGATTCAAATGGGCTTTGGATCTGACCTCATTAATATCAGAATAATAATTACAAATGCAAAAGTCAATTTTCCTCCTCTCGCATTTGTTCTTCCTTTCCATTTGATTAGACTTTACGCACCAGCCCACTGCTTAAGGGCTTACAAACGCTCCTGAGAAACATTTAAAACCTAGAAATACTTCAGATGCTTAATGCTTAGAAAATGCATGAGCGCTAGGTTCAATATTATCAGGCTGTGTGGCATCCTCCTAACAACCAAGGCTCTCTACCTCTTAAGTAAGCGTAGGAGAACACCTCATTTAGCACTTCTGCATCAATAGAGACTTCTAGAAGATTTCAGTGAACTCACAACAGAAAAATTGTTATTTTTGTCCAACAAAGAAGCTGAAATGCACTGGCGCCGCGCCGCCTATCAGGTGGGCCCCTCTCCGGAGCCAGCGATGCTTCACGAAAGGCAGCACTGGCACGTCTTGGTCACTCGTCTCTGGCTCAGTTGCTAACCAGAGCCATGCATGGATGAAGGATGCCCATCTGCCTCGCTGACTCCAACAAGGTGAAAGGCACAGGGGCAGGAGGTCAGCCCTCCTCTCCACTGAGCCCTGGGAACCTGCCAACCTTCTACTCCGTACTCAGCTTACTTGTTAGTACTAAAAGACAGGAATTACGCTGCAAATTGCATATTATTAAATAAAAATGCCCTCTGTTCTCATCGCAGATGCTTCATGAAAGCTTCAAAACCCGTTATTTCAGAATGGGCTAGGAAGGAAAAAGAAAGCCAAGCCCTGAATCTCTCCGTGTGCTGCCACGTGGTGAAGCTTTAGGCCTAAAGCTCGCCTTGCTCACACATGAGCTTCGTGATTTAACTGGGTTCGTTAAGACCAAGAGGATTAATTTGATTTCAAATTCAGGGCCTATTTACTTTTGGTTATATCAAAATAAATCCAGAATAGCTAAGTTGGCATTAGTAGCTTTACTCCAGATCTAAAGTAACCAGGAGCCTTATCCATTTCTTACAGAAGTTCATCAGAGCTTATCTGCTGGCTGGCTATACAAATTGGAGAGGAGCTGAAGAAAAATCCCCCTAAAGCATCGTATCTGCTGATAAATCCTATAATAATACAGGACAGATTTAGAAGATGCAGTCATGAACTCTTGCAGGTCAATAGGAAAACTTGTGCTGACTGAAGTTAATCAGAATTTCACCTTACACAGAGATGATTTGTCAGGACTAGAATTGTAAGTCACACATATGATTCCTTTGTAGAGTGCTATCAAAATGTGGCCACCTTTCAAATATACCAAATGTGACCAAAAAAAAGCAGTCATAAACTCAAGAGTTTATAGGAAGTTTGGAAATTTAGGGGGGGGAAAAAAGAAGTCATTTTAGACGACAGGTTTAAAAATCTGTGATAAGCTGCCCTGACTTCAACAGCATATTGATCTAGGAGTTCAGGTGGGCTGTGACATTACTTCTATGAGGGGTATTAAATGTAAAACCAGCTTGATAATAATTTCCTATGGTATCTAGAAAAAGGTTTGGTAACATTTTAGAAACAGCTAATACTGATG